GGAATCGCTTTCTGCTGTTACCAATTTAGGGCCCAAAAAATTCCATAAAGACCAATAAAGGTATACTACTAGGGCAGAACATGTTTTTTCGACGTACAGTAGGGCTGGGACCACTGCCATGGCCCGGAGGCCAGCCCACCAGGCAAAGGCACAATGGCCGGGACGCAAAATGGCCCTCTACCAAAAACAGAGACTTAAGCATATAGTGTATTACAGTTATAATTGAAGCTTGTTTTACCAGCGCAACTCGAGAGACAAATCGTCGTCTTGAGTGCTGCGTGAATTTCGAGGTTATTTCTACAGTCGCATCGCTCCCATATAAAGTGCGTTGATAGTAAACAGGTTGCCACGAAACGCCAATTTGTGTGCCGCGGGAGGGAATTCTGCTGCCAAACGTTGCTTTGACGCTGCCACTGAGTGAAAAGGCAGGAGCTCAGTCCCACACTAACAATAGCCGCTGTTTATGTGATTTGGAAGATTTAGAAAAACGTTCGTCCAAAACTGTGCTTCTTCATTCTTGCCTTGGTTATTGTTTGACTAATGGCTTGTATAAGCCAAGTGTACTGGCTGCATGTGCAAATAGGCTGAAGACCTTTTCGCCCTGTGGCCTAAAGTCAGGATGTGACTCCGAATGAGATGTGTCACGTTGGTCGTGGATTTTACTCTCGTTTTTGGTAATGGACTAGTTGGGTGCTCCACCATTGTACCTTAGCTGGGTTTGCTGGCCTGCGTCCATGTCAGTAGCCCCCAAGACCTGCATTTTGGCAATAGGTACTCTACACTAGTGGTATGCTTACTCTTGTCTTCATGGAAGTCTGGAGACACTGCGCTGAGTTTGTCATCCAATGTCAATGTCGATGCGCGTGTCAACGACCGCGCTATTTTGTCATTAGCTGCTCTGACTCTTCTTATTGCTATGACTTTTAACTTGTGCCGAGGTAAAACGCACCTCAATTAGAATTACTTATCCCGAAATAACAAGAAAATAATGGCGTTTGCGATTCTACTCATTTATGTACAACTTGATTCCCGCATTGACGGTTACGTGAATTCCATTGCCCTAACAAATGACATTTTAACTGTGTACAACTTCAACCTCGACTTCCTCATAATCTCGACGGAAAGTGTTGACATTTTAAGTGTTTGTAGAAGGGCTTCACTTTTCCCTTTTTTGATATTTCTGGTGTGCTGGGTGGCTTAACTAATCGAAAGTTGGAGTCATGTGAAATGCAATGACAATAAACTAAATCAACTGCAGTTCAGCTGTCACATCGTGTCTTCCTTTGGATACTTGAGTCAAACTACAAGTTAGCCCAACTTACACAAGACTGCTTTTATAAGATGGCATAATAGACGTTGAAGTACACTTTTCCCCAGTTAAATGGGTAAATACATCCACGTGAATTAGAATGACAGAAGTTGGAGATGATGGCCTGAGTCTTAGACGCAGGGAGCGACGGTACATTTCGGCCCTTTTGGTGGGTATCCGGAAGTTCTGCATTGTCGATAGAAAGCAATTATTTCAAGGTCACTTCCAGGTTCTAGGAAGATTAAAGTGAATCCGTATTAGCAGTCACTTATAAGCCTGACCACTGCCAGTTTAGTGGATAAGGACACTCATCGAAGGCTCTTCCTACTCACAGACCTTTAACGAAGGCTTTTGAGGCAAAACTTGAAAAGAAGAACTGTTTCTGGTACTAATACCGCTTAACAGAACTTTTCATTGTCACGTTTTTCCTGGCTACTAAAACAAAGGGTGCTCCCAACGAACGGATTGGCAATTTGTTTAAAAAGTGATAACATTCGACCAAATCAGCGGCCTGTCAACGTCAGTGGTGGAAAGGCATTTTCATTCTCTCCTCTTCCTGTCAAATCGACGAAAAGGGAAAAAAGCATTGTACATTAGCACAGTCATACGTGTACTTCGCGTTCCGTCAGGGTAAGATGAAGCAGTGGATTACCAGGTTCCGGCTCCGGCAAACTGATAAATCTTGAGGTCGATTGATGCCACAAGACAAACACTGGTGATAAGTTGGTTGTTGTTTAACTCTCGATTTTGGTGAAGCTGCCTTTGTGCCCTTTGCGGTGGGTTGAGCTATGAGCCATTCCAGTAGTCCCAAGCACTACTGAGTCTAGAGGCGTTACAACGGTGGCAATGAAAGGGGAATCA